TAGTAGTAGTAGTAGTGGTAGTCGTTGTCGTGGTCGTGGTCGTGGTCCTGGCAGTGGTCGTGGCAGCGGTGGTAATAGTAGTCATCGTCGTCGTCTTCGTCTTCGTCGTCTTAACAATAGTACGAGTATGAATGCGACTGCTACTGCGAACGGCTTCGACGACGACGACCTGACTATGATTGCTTTGATATTGTCTGGCTTAGGTAGTATTTAGTTGGGCGTTACAGTATTCACTTGTGTAGTTGTTCACGTGTTATGAGATGCGACTTCACTGTTGCGTATTGGCATTGTTCAAGATGGATCATCTTTTTGAACAATGGTCTGTCTGTTTACGTGGTTGTTATCGATAAGCACGGTGGACTGCCATGACGACAATTGCCAGTGCTACTATTGAACGCACAGCCCGCAATGCCGAGCCTGAGCTGAGGGCCCCAATCCTTCGATACCCTACAGCTGCAGCATGCTGCTGCTTCAAGTCAAACTGACCAGAGGCTTTCCTTCTTTTCGTGCCTCTGTGTTCCTCATCTCGGGTTTCCCCTAGGCGTGGCTTCAACGTCGTCACGCTGGATCCGGACTCTCAGCAGATCCTCTCGGCGATGTCTGGGGCCCGAGCTTGCAGCGGAAGTTTCAGCTGCTATTGGGGATTATTTGGGGGTTTTGGGTGTCTCGCGATTGGTTTTTGCTTTGGCGGCAAGAGCACAGAGCTTGGGATGAAGACGGCGACGAAAAACCTCTGGCACATTTGAGGTTGTGACGCAGATGCCTGATACGTATCTCAATACAGCTAACTGCCTGCACGAATGAGGCAGGGTATTTTTCGTTGTCATGTCATCTTGCGAAGCGGTCATTGCACCTCCTGTGATCGTCCTCAGATGCGATTCGAATTTAGATTTTTGGGCGCTCCACTTGTACTCTATCGTGCTGAAGGCCTTTAGCGCGAATTCTTGTCATGGGGCTGTGCATCCGGTCCAATTCGGAGGGAGAAGTTTATTCCGCTTGATGCCGGGAGAAATTGTCAGCACTCGAATGTCCACGCTGCCTTCTTGCGTGCGGCATCAGAGAGTCACTACAGTAGACACAGAAGTGGGTCGTGGCCCACATGCCCAATAAATGAAGTGTCGTGCGACGGGATGGGGAAGAGGAAGGTCAGAAGGAGAAATGAGACACACGATAGAGACCGCTTCTTAGCTGTAAGCAGAGGAGGAACTTAGTACGTCCAAACCTTCACTGCGTTTCCTTGAAGCCCAATGCAGCATGACGGTGTCACGAGGTCCTACGACACAGCTTCGGGTGGCAATGTAGCCGCAGCCTTGGGCGAGACAGTGTATTGACGTACTTAGGTGGGTAGGTAGGCAGGCGGCAGGTTGGTGGAAGCGTGTATAAAATTGGACGAACGGAAGCTAGTATGTGTCTGCAGTGTGTGTGTGTGTGCGCGTGTACCTATACGGGCAGTCTTCCCCATCGTCTTCGCTGACCAGGCCGTAAGCCAGCTGGCTACTGATCTCAATTCGCTGCCGGAGGCCAACCCAAAGAGCAGGAGACGTGCACAGAAGGTTCTGTACAGTTTGGGCATCTGCCGTTGTGGATGTCTAGGGCAGCTCTTGTTGAGCATTTGCCGTTCACTTTGAAGGTTCATCCAACCTTGCAGGCCCCCTCCAAGACTTCAGTCCAAGCAGATGTGGCAGCACAGCAACAACATCGCCACAGCTATGCTGCATCGAACGGAAAGTTGCACAGAAAAAACCATGAAGTATGGATGCATGCGGAGATTCGACCTGTCACGCATACCTGAACCGAACCCGGCATCTGCCAGAACACTCCTGAGCCTGGAGCTTCAGCCAAACGACCACGGAAATACAAATCCTTTCTTAACGAGACTCACGTTCTTAGGGGCGGATAGTGCTCGTGGCGGTCCGTGGATCCGGGCTTCAGTCGCTGAGCGGCGCAGCCCGGAGTCCGAGCGTAAGTTCACAGGAGTTTGGGTTCAGGATTTTAGGCTTTCGGTACTTAGTTTAGGATTTTTATGGAGCACTTAGTTTGGGGTTTATGGGTACTGTACTTCGTTTAAGGTTGATGGGCTCTCAGTCTTGGGTTTTAGGTCATTTTAGGTTTTATGGCGTGGGCTCTCAGTTTCGGATTTTAGGGTTTATGGGTTCTTACTTTAAGGTTTGTGGGCTCTTAGTTTTTGGATTTTAGGGTTTATGCCTGCTTAGTTTAGGGTTTGTGGGCTCTTAGTTTTGGGATTAGGGTTTATGGGTTTTTAGTCTAGGGTTGATGGGCTCTTGGTTTTGGGTTTTAGGGTTTCTGGGTTCTTAGTTTAGGGTTTAGGGTTTTGGTCTATTTTTTGGAAGTGGGTGGGCATTTTGATCTTCGGAAGGTGGCTCGAAGGTTTCGAGACGTCTCGGAGCTCTGAGGACTGTATAGCATCTGAAAACTGCAAGTATGAGCACCAGCCACCGCATCGCCTTTTTCAATTGTGACCCGGTCGAGTGTGCTATCTAGCTTGTTGGCGCGTGTTGCCACGAGTCTGTGCACATACTGAAAGGTGCTTTATGCATTGGTTCGTGTTCAATCTTGTTTCTTCATGCTCCACGTCGCCGTGGGAACTTAATGCCAGTGTTCAAGCCTTCGGTTGACGCTCCGAGGCCATTCGAGCACTGCGGCGCGTCAGCTGCTCAGCTATCTTCTCGTTTGGTGATCTCTGTGCTGAACCACACACAACATGCGGAAGCAGCTGACTCAGGTGGGTGCTACCTCGATGGTGTCAGGCGGACGGTCGCAGGAGGGCTACGTGCTCATCGGCATGAAGGGAGGTGGGGCACGCTGCACAGCGAGGCATCTCAAGACCGGCTTAGCTACGAGGTGATGCCGTCGCCGAGCGGCGTGGCCATCATGTCGAGGTGGAGGGGGTACTTCCGCGACCTCCTTGGCAGGAGCCTCTAAGACTCTGAAGACTCTATCATGCTCTGTGGCCATGCACTTGCAGCGTGCGCAGCTTGGCAAGATCACCTGCAACACCGGCTCAAGACGCCTTCGATTTCTGAAGTGCTGCGACTCGGGCTGCGACTCCAAACCTCTCCCACTCAAAGCATGCTGACGACTCCTTACAAAGCGCTGGACGATGCCCAGCCTGAAACGGCCACCACTGCCGACCCCTCGTATGCACCGACTGCCTGGTCCTCAGCCTTGTACTTGGACGCTCATGTCATGGATGTGGTGTCTGATGAGGTAGAGAAGCTCCGCCTGCGGCAACTTCTGCGCAGTGTTGTTCTCGCAGGGATCTCGGTGTACTCTCGTTTCATCTATCAACATCTGGTCACTAGTCGCAGATCAGTCATGTTCGTCTATCTCTTGTGATGTGCCACGATCTGCAGATGCTTTCACACGGGTGCACAACGACATGAACGCGGAATCTGCCTAGGTGGCTTCGGGCTTCTTTCGGGACAAGTCGTCTCGATTGGTCGCCTGGTCTCTGGCGTGCGCTCTGTTGGCCACTGCAGCTTCACGAGCTCCAGGAGTTCACCGTTTTGGATTCGGAGAGGTTTGGCACCAGGAAGGTCTTTGGGATGTCCTCGGGTTCGGAAGCACTCGTGCTCGTCGTACTCTTGGGCTGCGATTGAGCCTGATGAGGTCAAGGTCCTAGACTTCAGGAGTGCGTGTAGCTACAGCTACACTGCAAAGTAGCTCACAGGTGGTTTTTCGAAAATATTGCGTGCTCAGTGGTAAATGGCAAACGCGTCGGCTGCAGATGAGGTGATGATGCTGGGCTTTTCTTTACTGCAGATGTGGTTCCTCAACACGTTCCGCGAGTTTCAGAATGCGCTGCATGACAAGGACCAACAGAAGTAGCTTGGCTGCAGAGGGCGCGGATCTTTACGGTCTATCAGGGTTCGAACTGCCGAAGAAGCTGGGCCCTAAGCCGTTTCAGTCGTAGGACGCCGCGGTGCCGGGTGTAACGCATGTGTTGGTGTCGAAAACACATGGAAACTTCCATGCGGAAAATGTCAACAATGGGATCCTTAGAACATCTATTTCAGAGAGGGGATCAAAACCCTCGACATCCTTCGACCCTCATTACGTAACGGGATCCTTAGCAGCAAGGAATCTTGCTGGACCCAAAACCCCAAACTCTGCACTCAATTCATAGATAAATGCTTAGTGAAGCTCAGAACCCCAATCACTACTTGGTTGGATTCTCAATTTTGCAGGGCCGACAAGCTGTACACCGTACACAGTCTGATCACTCAAAATACGGACCCTTCCACATCTTCAAGAGACTTCAACCGTGCCCAAAGTTGCACCTCCGGTAGGCCCCGAAATGTCGCACCCACGGCGTAAGCAGTTGAGGTTTTACTCGACTCTTCTCCTGATGTTCAAGGCCACGCGACTCTCGTTACCACTAGGTTACTACGATTATTCCTCCTACTGCAATTACTGACACGGCAAATAAAATGTCAGAATTACTCTGCTGATGGCTTCGGCAGGTGGTGCTCAGCATCATGCCTCTCTTGGCACTCCGAGAGTTGCTCCGGGGCGCGTTGGCTTTGGAGTGGCGCCGCTACCTGACGAGCTCGCTGCTGACCCCGGGCTCAATATCCATAAACCATCTCAAAATCTCCTTTTGGATGTAGAGGGTGGTTCGGGCATGTTTCATCGATCATCATGACTTCCTGATGCTCTGCGACCCTTGGGGTCGGCAGGGCCTCTTCAGCCCAAGACTTCCCAAAGCTTATAAAGCACCAGCTCAAAAACAAATCTAAAGCCAAATTAGCTATGAAAACGTGAGGGCAGTTAGCTTCGATTATTCCGAGTTCGTCAGACCTGCACGGATCGAAGGTGTCTCCGGAGCAGACCTTCACCACAAACCAATTTCAAACCTCGCACAACGCCTTCATGTTTGCGCAGTGATCAACATTCCTTGTTCGGTTCGCTAGGTCCGATCTAAACGCAAGAAGGTAAAGCGACTTGAAATCGATGGGCAAACGGAGTTGAAGCAGTTGGGCTACTACGAGCAGTGCTAGTTGATTGTTCTAGGGCTATGGCTAGGACCTCTTCAGCTTCTTGTACTGTTATGGCTCTACCACTGCTTGATGCATTGTTCCCAGGAGCCGCTACATCGGAGAGTCGAGGATGTACTACCGCACCTCGTATTCGATTAGATGATTGGACCTGATGCCTGCCAGGTGTGGGGAGACGCTGCTCAACGTTGAAAATCTTCTATCCACAATCACTCCGTCGCTCTTTCCAATGGTCTTTGCTCCCTCTCTCTGTCTTAGTGCTCGTTTTCTCTCTGCAGCGTCTTCTGGCTACAACCTACCGGGGAAGCGATGTGCTTCTGTTTTGTTTGAGTGGCCTTTTAGGCTGTGGTGGCATTGACCTGATGCCCTCACAATCCCTCAAGCGAGTGAGCACTGCCCCCCCCCACGACTGCAATCAGGCCATTGTTTGTATGCATGCAGGCATGCAGGCAGGTAGGTAGGATGGTAGGTATGCATGTATGTATGTTTGTTTGTATACAGGTGTGTATGCATGCATGCATGCATGCATGCATGCATGCATGTATGTGTGTGTGTGTGTATGTGTATATATATATGTATGTATGTATGTATGTATGTATGTATGTATATATATGTGTATCTATGTATGTATGTATGTATGTATGTATGTGTGTGTCTGTGTGTATGTCTGTGTGTATGTATGTATCTATGTATGTATGTATGTATGTAGGTATGTAGGTATGTAGGTATGTACGTACGTAGGTATGTAGGTAGGTAGGTAGGTAGGTAGGTAGGTACGTACGTACGTACGTACGTACGTACGTACGTACGTATGTATATATGTATGTATGTATGTATGTAAGTAAGTAAGTATGTATGTATGTATGTATGTAGGTATGTATGTATGTATAGATGTATGTACAAACCAAAATACACATACTTGAGCGTCCCCAAGTGCTTCCACTGATTTGCCATAGCTTCGTTGGACGGGATAGGCAAATCAGCTTCTGGTGACCATCAGCTCAGGTCACCCTGCTGCATGATTCGTTTTATCCCTTAGCTCCAGGGTGGTACACACATGCAGCAACCGATCCCGACGGTTCTGTATCGAATCCCCAACCCTCGCCCTCCGAGAGCGGGGAATGCCTAGATGCCCAAACCTGAAGCCGAGCTAGCGGTACTTCTACCAACAGGAGTGCAAGCATCCGTACTAGCAGCGGCAGCGGCAATGGAGATTGAGCCTGCAGCCACGCTGCTGGGGCAGCCGCAGGGAGGTTGAGCCTGCACACACTTGGCTCAAATACCGCCCCTTAACCCATTGAGAGTGCTTCCTCAGTATCGGTCAGTATCACTGTAGTATACACTTCCTTCACAAGGGCAGATTATACCAGAGCATAGACAACGAAACGCCCATCTGGCATGACTGCAAATAAACGGGCCATATACTAATACACGCACCTCCACAGCGACAAGATTAGCAAAGAGCAACCCGAACGACACAGCGATTTGTGCACACTTGTTCAATTGCTGGCCTCATCGGTGCTGCCGGGCAGCACGCACGTCAGGTTTGAAGCTGTTGGGCAAGGGCCTGGATAACCCCGACCAGCGCATTGCCCAAGACTGTGGCGAGTTCACTGATGCGCCAACTGGTTTGCAAGATAAAGGCGATAATCAATGGTCAAGCGAACCGCATCCTTTCTGGACCGCCGTGTTGATAGCAAAGATGCGATGCCTTGACGAGAGTAGAAGCTTAGCGGGACAGAATATAGTTGTCGGAATGGTTACAAATGCATTATTGCAGCACATGCATGGTATTTCCCCCAGACCCTGTATCCTAGTCATTCAGCCCCCATATTAGCGCTCAGGATTCTGCAGTTCTTGGCCCTGCTCGTGCAGAATATCATGCTGATTCTTTTCCAATCCTCGCTTTTGTTCAAGATCTCACCCGACCTGTTCTACTTCGTGGTGGTGTACTCAATCGTGCTGAGCCTTGGCTATAGGCAGGGATCAGCTTTCAGCTTGGGAAGCACATGTGATTTGATTGGCATTTGTTTTCGCTGCCGCCCGTCCAAGCATGATCCTGTCATTCCATGCCTTCCATGCCATGAGTCAGGAACGTTCTCACCTTCGTCGTGTTCGGCGGGCCGCTGACGCGCCTCAGGCGGCGCATCTTGGCGCAGGAGGCATCGTTTCGTTTCGGCCTCGTGAGGGCCACTTGGAGTGCACCTGATGCCGACGTGTGAGCTCTTCAACCCGTCTCCAGCATGTGTCCGCATGTCTGCGCTTGTAACTTATCTTTCGATGAGCCATGTTGCCGCGGAAAAGCTTCCCTCGAGAAGCGTGATCGCCGTATTGTCAGTTGAGGTGAGGGAACATGCCGAGTCCATAGCTTTCTACAGTGGCGAAAGCTTCGAGCGTGGACGCTGCCAACACCGGTTTTTCAACAGCTTGATGGACACACTTTACAGACTCCCGGCAGAACAAAATGTCGACATGCCATGCTAATCTCCTTGAGCAGCCTTCACGCCTGCGTCATGTTGGTTCGCTGACTGTCTGTAGGAATGTTGGGCGTCACAGTCAGCTTCTCCATCATCCTGGCTGCTGCCACCTACGTCGTGCGAGTTGCGCCCTTCGCAGTTTTGGCAGGCCAGGGGCTTCCAGTCCGGAAAGAGATCGCAGACTCCGAGCCTGAGGCAAGTACTTCAGAGGGGACATCGATTTCGGAGCCATGATGGAGGCCTTTTCGATCCTGTCCGGCTTGGAGGATGCCTTCACGACTCTCGTGTCCCAGATGAGTCCTGTGCTGAGACATGTGATTGGGCTTTGCGAGCTCCTGTGCTCTGATCACCCATACCAATAAGGTTCTATCACTGACATGGGCGCGCAGGCTATACGCATTCAACAGATTTGGGACTTGGTGTCCGACGACAGCAAAGATTTAGCAGACAGCCCTGCCATTTCGATGGAGCGTGATGCTGGGGAGATCCAGAAGGAGTCCCTATGTGCATGACATGACAAAGCTATGAAGACTTACGGGAAACTTAAGGTACAGGCGGTACCGGCATAGGTCCCCCAAAATGCTCATGCTGCAGTGACTGCAGTGCTTCACGGGTCGGAACCGCCGCCGCGGGTTCCGAGTCAGTTTGGGAGGAGGTGGTAGGCCACGAGAGCCGCTGCGATGGTGCCGCGGGTGCCACTGCCTCTAAGAGATGGACGAATGAATGAGCAACGCTTAGTGGCTTAGTGGCGCTCCCTCAAGCAAAACAGCTAGGTCTGACTGGAAAAGTAGATCCCCGCATAATCCCGCCGTGGTCTATTGTGTTGCGTGTAGGGCATGCAGGGCGCAGTGAAACCGACGACTGGTAGTGAAGCTTGGGTCAGTCCTCAAGATCACAGGTGCTAGGGTGGGAACGTCTGTTTCGTGAACCCGAACTGTGGAAATCGCGACCCTGCCGGAACGGAATCCATGCCACACTGGACTAACCTAGACCGTACTAGACCTCTGCCATAAATCTAAGCTCCGCAGGAGTCCCAGGAAGTGCCGGTACTCCTGCAGATGCAGGAGGTGACGCTTCAGACACCGTCCGGCCATGCAGTGCTAGTGGAGCGCCTGTCATTCCAGCTGAGACAAGGCGAGGTGTGCATCAATATGATTGGCACCAGGTTTCCAATGTATCAGGCGAGCCGACAGTCGTCTTGTTGAGCGAGGGCTCTTTGATACCGCCTGCAAGGTGAATCGCTGCTGTTGTGCGGCCGCAGCGGCGTAGGAAAGAGCTCGCTGCTCAGGAGCATCGCAGGACTTTGGGGGCGAGGTGCACTACCTGTGCTGGAGAGCTGGTTGCAGCTTCTTTTGATCCCTGTGTAAATCCTATTTCAGTGCTACATCGACTGGTGGTTTGGCTATTACGGGGTGTACCTCATACGGGGTGAGGTTGGCCGCGGTCGCGGACGCAAGCAACATCAAAACGACCGGCATTTGATCACCGTTACCGTCAGCACTAGCTGTTACTGTGCAACTGCTACCAACGCCGCCAGCACCAGCATCACCATGTTCGCCGCCGCCATAGCACGTGTCAGATCTTTCCAGCCCCGATCGTGGTTGGGTTCGGTGTGGTTTCTGCGTTGCACCTGTATAGAGTCATAGAGCGTGCCGTCATGTGTCGGGACTTGAACGCAGATGATGCTGGGTGCAGTCGGGTGGAGGCAGTGGCGTCATCCGCTGCTGCCCGCAGAGAGAAACCTTCTTCCTGCCCCAAGAGACGTACCTGTGCTTGGGCACACTTCGCGAGAATGCCACCTACCCTCAGGCAGGTCCAGCAGCATCTTTTTCAGTTTTACAATGTTTCATGGCCCACCTTCATAGCAACAGTTGTGATGTAGCGGGTGTCATGCAAGCCTTGCAGGAGGCTGGTGGGGCCAGCCCGCGAGATGACACTATACGGGAAGCCCTGGTCAAGGTCAACCTGGATTATCTTCGCGACCGTTACGGCCTGAAACCTCAGAGTAAAAGAGACCGAGAGAGCGACTGACAGGAACACCCGATTCTACATAGCTGCTCCCGTCTCTCGTGCACAGATGCCCGCCATTGCCAGGCCTGGATAAGCCCGTCGACTTTGACGCAGTCCTTTCTGGTGGTGAGCGGCAGCGCTTGGGCTTCGCGCGCCTGCTGCTGCGCCCAAATCTGCGCCTTAGATGCGAGACTGGATTTAAGCTGTCCTCTTCAGAGATCTTGGAAAACCCTTAAACCCTGCCGAGGAAGTTTGCGATCCTTGACGAGGCGACCTCGGCGTTGGACCGCTCCAACCAGTCTGCAATGTACGAGAACTTACAACGGCAGCCAGCTGCAATACTTTTAGGACGTTGATGTGCGGTCCATGCTGGCGCATCGGTGCTCTTCCAAGGCATGTGAAGGGCTTCGTGTCGATAGGGCACTCCTCCAGCCTCGAGGCGTTCCACACACAGAAGCTTGTGTTGGAAAGGCCTGACTGTCTTGACTTCGTCCCTGTTTGCAAGTGTTTGCAGAGTGGCGTGACAGCTGGCTTGAGCTTGTTGAGTCTGTTCACCCCGAGGTCCTCCGAAGGTGCAGCTGGCTGGCGACTGGAGTCCATCCGATGAAACCAGCTCGCTGTTCTTCGCCCTCAAAACGATCTCCAACCCCTAGACGACACTGGAAAGCTCCGGCAGCCCTGAATCCGGTCGGCGAGTGCTGAGCAACGTGCTCCTATGGTTCGGGAATGCAGGACGTGCTGAGCTGATGAAGCAAGGTCCTGACACGAGCAGTGGCTGACACGACTGCTGTGAGCACCGTGGCGGCCCCGTCGGTGCCTAATCCTATGAAGGAAGCACCGCTTGGTGTCAGAACGCAGGTTCTGTACACTGCAGTAGAGTCTGTACTCCGCACGAAGGTGATGTGCAAGGGACACCGGGCCAGCTCCGCATGAAAACGCTGTCCTTACCTTACCGGAAAGCCCAGCAAGAGACGAGAGATGACGACTTTGCAGGATCCTCAAGACCTTGGTTGGTACTTCCTGCAGCAGAAGCAGTTCCTGGATGACCTCAAGGTCGGCGGAGAAGTCTCTGAAATGCCTTTCAAGACGTACTCGGCTGCTAGGCGCTGTCTCAGTAGTTATTATCAAAAAGATGACGTAGGCAAAATCTACAAGACTTTAGGAAGACCTCAGAACAGGCCTCTCCTGACGCTTGCAGCCCGACCTGCATCATTCTCCCATGGGGCTGTTCAGCGGCGCGCTGTGTCGAATCCAGCACAATCCCCACTCTAGATATTGCGATTGTCTGTACTGCTATTGTCACCGTTATCAGCAGTAGTGCGTGGTAGTAAAAGAGGCGACCAACAAAAATGAAGCCTACACCATCCAACAGGTCTGCGAAGATCGGCACGACGCCTGGAATTCCAAGGCAGGTTTGATCACGACGTTTGTATCTCCAAGGCTTCACGGTTGAGGATGTATGGGTTCAGGCGTTGCAGGGACATGCTTCAGCCCGCAACATGAATTCGTAGAGGCTGATGGTTCCTCCTCAATGACAACTTGCCTTAAAACTTACAGGCTTCAGCCGCCACACAAGAGAAAGTCGCAATGACCATCTCTGGGAATCTGCAGTCAACCCTACCATCTGATTTTGTCCGGATACTCTCACGGGGCCCCTCCAAGCACTCCCACTTTCCGGCATGTTTCTTGACCCGATCACACCATGTCACAATTGCCATAAACAGAGAGCCCCATGCGATGGATCAAATTCTCGCTGAACACCATAATAAGATAACGGGCTAAGGGTGGTTTATAACTCCCTTTCGGCTTGGGGCTGCAAGCTGCACCTGATGTATACAGCTACTACGCAGTACATATTATTCCCACGGCTTTCAACTCGTTGGATTTCAACATTGACCAGCTGGTTTAATGAACCATGTCACGCATTTTTAGAAAGTAGTTACCTCCTCAGTAATTCATAGCCTTGACAGAACACTGGGTGGGTCTGTGCATTCTTGGCCTGCGTCCCTCTGCAGGTGCTGTCGGTGCTGTTGATTCTTCTCCTCCTTTGCCTCCTCCTCCTCCATCTTCATCATCGCGACCATCATCAACATCATCAACATCACCCTCACCCTCGTTAGAAGCGCCGTCGTCGTCATCATCATCACCCTAACCCTGGCCATTAGCGTCACAATCTTCGCCGTCACCACCACCACTACGATCACCATACGATCATCATCACTGTCACAGCATGTCGTTGCTGCCCTGCTTCCCGGCCAGCCCCAGAGGCTCACTGTACCAAGACAAACGAGCCGACCAAAACCTCCTTACAGGCTAGAAAGACCTCTGAAGCCGGACGCTTTTGGAGTTCTGCGAGGTCTTCATGCAGGACGAGGAGATCGAGAAACTGAAGAAGCAGGTTCCGATTTGGGGGAACTTTGGAGCCGCCAAGGGCTTGAGGCTCCGACCTTTGACGGATTTGGAAGTCTCGGCCTTGTTGCTCAGGTGAGGGCCTTGGAAGAGGAGCGTGACGGCTTGCGCAAGGACCGAGTTCTCTCTCAGCAGCTTTGTGTATGTCAGCAGTCAGGCTTGGTGCTGTTTTGGTGTCACGGCACTCGAAGGTTTCGGCACCTCGCAGCATAGTTGTCTGCACGGAAACCCTGGAAGTCCCATACGGTCCTGAGGTTATCTGCGCGTAGATCATTCAATGGACTGGTGTCTGGTTAGTACCGGCACAGACACTGTCGCTGCTTGCCTGTAGTCCTTTGACACGCACAACCGTGTGCAGGATCTGAAGGAGGCGATGCGAGAAAGAGATGAGTGGCAGGCAAGGCGACGAGACAGCCGCAGTCAGCGTGAACACGTCAGGGACTTCACTAGGAGTGGTTGCGAGGTGTCCGCATTGCGGGTCATGTCGAAACGCGAGTTTCGGTCCAGCGTCCGGCCCTCGGTCAACAAGATCATTTCTACAGCCGCCATGCTGCTGAGGATCTTCTTTTTATGCTGGGCCAGAAAAGCCCAGCAGCTGTATTGAAGTGCCTTTGAACAAGGTGGAAGCTTTGGAAGCGGCCAGGCGAAGGTGCGTCGGAGCTCATTTTCAGGGTTTCTTTAGTGCAGCAACCCAGGTCCAACTCTTCCAGTGTCTCTCTCTCTCTCTCTCTTTCCCTGGCCTGCTCTCAGTCTCAGTCAGGCCGCTGCCGCCGTGAGTGCAAAGGGGCCAGCGACATCGACACATTTGGACAGCTGGCGCGGCTGAGTCCACAGGGCAGAATTCGTAATTAGCATTTGATGATGCTGCTTGTGTTTGTGATCCGGCACGTCAACGGCTGAGTTTATTTGCTCAACAAAAACATCGAGTACTGCTCATACGTCCACTGGCATTGATCGAGATCATCCTCCTTGCGGGATTGCATTCAGTTGTGGTGCTTACCTAGCTGTTGCAGTGCTGGAAGACCCAGCCTTCATTGCACAGCTCAGGGGGCCCTTATCCCCAAAAGGCCGCACATGTACACTCCGTCCCCGCGTGGGACATGCCTTGCAAGCCAACCCATCTGAAGCCAACCGCGGCGAGTTAAAACGAGTTAAAAAGCCTTGCTTCGCAGCCTGTGGCCTTGGCTCTGCTGCACAAATCCCAGGGTAGACTTGAAGCCAACTTTCCTGACGGTACAATCCCAAGGGAACGATTGAAGTTGTTGCATGCTGCCAAACTCTGCTGTTTCGTGATGGCTCAGCTTAGAGGCGTAGTTTGGAAGTGCTCTCTTTCCAATGTGAATCGAAGCTGCTTGGTCGCAACTGGAGTTTGTGCAGCTTTGCCTGTTTTTTCGTACATGAGTCGAGCACCTGACATCTGTAGCGCTGGCGTATTGTGTTGCTCGTCCAAGTTGTCGGCAGCAGAACATCCCACTCGGCTCCCGGCTGAGTCCCCAAACTATGTCTCAACGCTGCTGCCAAGGATAGCGAACCACCCTTTTCGTGTCTTGCGTATTTCTCCCAGCGAGGGAGCGTGCCGCGGCTGCAGCATTTGACTGGTTTTTTGCTGTGAGCAATTTGCGCGTGCCCAGCTGTTAACTAGCATGGTATCCTGATGTTGAATTAGCACCATGTTCCTCACTGTCGAGCGTCTCGACACCGTAACTATCAGTCATTATCGCTAGCATCCTTACTGTCATCATTGTTACCAGCACTAGCATTGACGCTGTCAGCATCGGCACGTTTACTTCTATGGTCATTGCCATACAGCCTGCGCAGCAGACTCTACTGCTAAAGCTGTTTTTCTCGCTGCCGCACGAACACGAGTTTCGTTGTCATCATGTTGTATGTGGACATGGACACACTTTTCTGAGAATGTAAGATTACTTGCGAAAATAGTACCAGGATTAGAGTACAGCGCGTAGACGCGCAGATGTATGCACATTTGGTATACCCGCACGTTGACGACATGCATGCATAAAACACTGCTGACGTCCAAATTCGTGTTTCCGTGCCACACGCATTCATCTATACATGTAAGATTACACAGAAGTTACAGACATACGTACAGAAGGACAGACACGCGCAAACCGACAGCCAGCCCGACCGACTGACGGAAGGATGGACGCAAGGAAAGACAAAGACACGGGTACACGCAAATCACAGAAACGTGCCTGTACATGCATGCATAACTGTGTCTCTACATATATATATATATACATATACATACACATACACATACACATGCACATACACATACACATATACATACCTACCTACATACATACATGCATGCATGCATACTTACATACTTACACACGCACACATATACATCCATACATATATATATATATACATATAGATAGATAGATAGATGGATAGAATATAAAGATAGGTAGATAGCTAGATAGATAGATAGATAAACAGATAGATAAACAGATAGATGGATACATAGGCAAGACAGACAATTAGGAGGGTAGGTAGGTAGATAGATACATAGAGTCTTTATACTAAGTCAGCAGACCAATGTGCACGTGTGTGTGTGTGTGCGTATAGGCATGTCATACATATAGAAAATAACTATATACATGTACGAAAACAAGGTACGGCAAGCACAGGTGCAGTTTTCAGGCATCAGCACTTGACAAGGAGCTTCCTTAGTGGGCGAAGCAATCGCGAGCCCAATGAACCACTTTGACCTTGTAGCCTCTGCGTGTACGCACAGAGTGAGGAGGACAGTGTGCGTACCGGGGTTCAGTGCACCGAAAGCAGACGTGCAGCTTCCGGGGTAGGACGGACCACTCTCTCCGTGCCGAGGAACTATTACTTCAAAGATGTTTGCGAACAGCCTTTGGCAGGCGGGGGTGAAGCGGATGAGCTGAAGCGTCAGACGGGTTCGATGGGTCGTCTGAGTGGAGGTTAAAGGTGTGAGAGATGTTAGCAAAAGCATGAAGACTACGTTCATCTCACTAGGGTTTCAACACATCTAGAAGTTCCTTCGCTCTTCAGCTTAACAGCATGGTCCAGGTTCCTCGTGCTAGAACAGGAAGCCTGTCGCCAGCAGAGGATCTGCGCTGGTGACTCGTACTGGGTACATGTAAGAATATGGAGGCTGGAGTCGTCGGAAAGTAAAGTTTCATCTCCGATTGCAGTCGCCAAGATGATATAGCTATGGTTTGTGAAGCATCCCGATGTCTCTCGCTTCCTATTCGCCACTTGTAGTATCTTGTAGTGTTAGGCATTTTACATCATGCTGCGCTATGCACGTCACTTCGTTTCTGCCTTCCTCTATCCAGCTGACGAATCCAGGACCATTCAACACCAAAGCCTAAACCCAAAGCATCCGAAAGCCCGCGGGAGGCTCAGAAACTCCTTCATGGCTCCCAGCACGGGCCCTGGTGGCCTCTCTCAGATGCTTTTATGTTGGTGGCAGCAGCAGGGCAGAAGCAGTACCGACGTTCGTAGTGGTCGTCGCCGGCATTGTGCTAGTGCTGCAGCAGCAGCAGCAGCAGCAGCAGCAGCAGGAGCAGAAGCAATAGTGTCAGCAGTGGAAGCAGGAGCAGCAGTAGCAGCAGTCGCAGAATTGGCAACTGTAGCCGTTGTCGTTGGTTATAGCGGCAGTGGCAGTGTAGCAACGAGGAGTAGTGTCGCAGCAGTCATGGTGGTGGTGGTGGTGGTGGTGGTGGCGGTGGCGGCGGCGGCGGCAGAGGTGGTGGTGGTGTCTTCGACATCAACTACCACAGGAACGAACAACAACAACTGCAACTCCTGCTACCACCG